AGGTTACAGTGAGCCGAGATCGTGCCACTGCACTCCAGCCTGGCGACAGAGTGAGACTCCGTCTTAAAAAAAAAAAAAAAAGAAAGAAAATTCAATGTTATATTACAGTTACAATGGGGATAAAATGATTATTTAAAATATGAACAAAATAGTTCAGAAATATAATAAATGTAATAAACATTTTTGTATGTTCATTCCTAAAGAGATATCTATTGGACAAGCAATTTGTTCATTTAGTCATCAAAGTTTCAATGGACCAGAAACTAAGTGTTGGAAGGACTAAGACTGTGAAGACATAGTAATTCATTTATTCAGCTGAGAATAATCTGAGAGTTGAGAGTCTGTTGAGAGTCTATAATATGTGGGACTTTGTTTTTTGAAACTAGAGATAGCAAATACATACATAATATCAGGTAGTATTAACTATTATAATGAAAGCTGTGGCAAGATAGGTTAAAGAGAGAAAGAGAGTGTGTGTGTGGTGTGAGTGTGTGCATGCACACATGCATTAAATAATCTGGTCAATTGAAGCTATGGGAGATCTAGCGGAATAGTATGAGGCTGGGGAAAAAGCAAGTACAAACTCTTCAAGGGAAGGAGTTTGGTGTGCTTGAGGAATAGCAAGATGGTGAGTGTGGCTACAGCAAAAACACTGATGAGGAGAGTGTTAAGAGATGAGATTGGAGAGATAACAGGGACTGAGTCATGGAGTGCATCATATACAAGATAATACAGGGTTGGGTCTGAGTGTTAAGGGAAGTGATTGGAGAAGCTGGGGTTTTGGACAGTCCCTCTGCCAGCTATGTGGAGAATTGATGATAGGGGGCAAGATTGGAAGTAGGGAATTGGGAATTGATTATAATAGTTTGAATGAGAGGTGATGGTGGCTTGAAAAAGAGTGAAGGCAATGAAGATGGTGATAAGTGATCAGGTTTTGGATGTATTTTGAATGTTGAGCTGATCGGTAGGAGGAAGGGATGATAACTATTGGTTTGAATGGAAAGGGAGGGGAATGTTGTCAAAGGACGAAAGGAGTCAATACCAAAGTTTTTGTTTTCAGAAACTGGATGGATAATAGTGGTCATGTACTTACATGGGGAAACCTAGGGGAAGAGTAGATTGGGGAAGTTAAACAATTCGGTTTGGACAGGTTAAGAATGAGATGCCTATTAGATATTCAAACAGTTGGATATATGAGTCTGAGTCTCAAGGGGTTTTGGTGGTAGAGCTACAAGTTTTGGAGTTATCAGGATATGAATGATGTTTAAAGTTACAAAACTAGATACAATCAAGCATACCCTAAGTGTAAATAAAGAAGAGGACCCAGGGACTGAACACTGCGGTTTCAGTGTTTCCCAACATTTGGTGGTTGGGAAGAGAGAGGGGAGGTGGCATTGGAGATGGAGAAAGATTTGCTGGTGAGTGGAAACAAAACCAGGAGAATGTGGCATCCCAGAAACCAAGCCAAGAAAATGCTTTAGGAAGGGGGGTAATGAACCATAAAAAAAGCTTCCAAGAGATCAAGAGGAGGACCTAGAACTGACTGTTGGATTTCACAGGACGTGAAAGACACAGCTCCTTTCCCTTAAGGAATTTCCAGCACAGCAGAGATGGGAAAATAAGGAAGCATATAAGTTGCTATACAGTAGTGGAAGATCCTAGAGATGTAAACAAATTTGTGAAATTGGGATTGAAGATGGAACAGGGAATTATTCTTGGGGAATCAAGGAAAGCTACATGGAGCAGATGTGCTTTTGGATTTTGGTAGGTAGGAGGTAGGGATATATCAGAATTCATAAAACTTTAAAAATTGTTTTTTGTAGCTGGTTGTTGATTTTTCCTGTAAAAATAAACTCATTCAAAACAATTTTGCATATTTTTACTCATGCAAAACTGATATTTCCCCTCCTAATTTAATATCCCACTACTATTACTTCATATAGACACATTTGTTAATTATCAGTAAACATGGTAACCATTTTATAAAGAAAATACATACAATCCATTCTACCTTAGTCTTCTAAAGGATACTCTTGTAATTACATTTTTCCTCCTTGTAGTCTTTATCTTTTAATTACATTTTCATTCCTTTTCCTGGCTGTATGCAAGTATCAAGACCATATTCTTAATAGCTACCATGTACCTAACTCTTATCACACAGGAGGCACTGTTCTAAGATATATTTAATCATTTTGTTCTCACACACAATTTTGTTCTCACACACAATTCTAATACCTTCATTGTCCCTGTTTCTCATTTGTGATAACCGAGGCACAGAGAGGTTAAGTAACTTGCTCAAGGCCACAGAGTAAATGACAGAGCCAGTATTAGAACTGGGCTGCCTGGCTTCAGAGATCACCATCTTGCACAGTAGGTTGTATTTCCATCCTTACTATTTTATCCCTACTTTTCTGGGTTGGGCAGTTACTAGTAAAAAGTCTACTAGTAAAAATGGATAGGCTCTCTATGACTTGAACTATAACTTCTAAAGTCTCAGCACTCAACTGCAGGTTGTCATTTTAGAGTAGGCCGGTAGGACCCAGGAACTAGACACTGGATCCAAATGGAGAAGAGGGCATTTAGTTCTTTTGCAATTGATTGTAGATGCTCACATGTCTGCTTAAGGATTTATATTCAACCAGATCATATATCAGGACAGTGGTGGTAAAAGGAACTCAAGTCTTTGTGGTGGAGAAGATCCTTCTGCTTACAGAAATGACCACTTCTGGTTTGGTGTGGTGGCTCACGCCTGTAATCCCAGCACGTTAGGAGACTGAGGCAGGTGGAACACGAGATCAGGAGTTTGAGACCAGGCTGGTTAGCATGGTGAAACCCCATCTCTACTAAAAATACAAAAATTAGCCAGGCATGGTGGTGCGCGCCTGCAATCCCAGCTACTTGGGAGGCTGAGGCAGGAGAATCGCTTGAACCTGGAAGGTGGAAGTTGCAGTGAGCCAAGATCACGTCACTGTACTCCAGCCTGGGTGACAGAGCAAGACTCTGTCTCAAAAAAAAAAAAAAAAAAAAAAAAAGACGACTTCATTACAGTCCTAGATGTATGTGGCTCATGTCTTCATTCTCTTTTTAACCTTACTGAAAGCACATGAGATGATTATACACTTAAGGAGGTACAAAGTGTACATCAAAGTAACCATGTTTAGGAATGCTTACTATGTGCAAAGTATTGCTCTGAGTATAGTGGCTGTGATTTCTTGGGAGCTAAAATAATAGACTAGCCAAAATCTTTAAGATTCTTTAATGCTCAACAATAGTAAGTATGTACATAATTAAAATATAAAATTATTGGAGCCCAGTGGAATCTAGCTGTGGTTCAGCCTTTGTTTGATTTCTAGTGTGGTTTTTTTTATAGCTGACTTGATTCTCCTTTTTCCTGATACCATACTGTAACTGGCTCCCCGAATACATGGGGATTTGGATACATAATTTTCATAAGCATTTGAAGCCTCTCCCTTTAGATTTTGAGTTCTACCTTTGATTTAAAAGTTTCTGAAATAAGGTAGCCACTTTCCCTTTTTTGGCAGAAAGAAGGTGTAGAATAAATAACTTTTGCTAAGATGCTTTCAGGACAAGAATCTGAGGAACTTTCTCAAGGCGCAGACCCTCAAATTTTATAATTAGTTTTTTTCTCAAGATGAAAGTCAACCTGTTCTTCTCTTTATTCTGTTCTCATTAAAATGTTCTTCTCTGGGCAGAGTCATTATATTTTCAGAAAGGCTTAAGTGAGCCAGCATTAAAATTTGCTCTTAATTTCTACAAATATAGAAAAACCTGCTGGGAGATGGATACTGTATTCACTGTGGTTCTCTCCCTGTCTGCTGTGTAATATTTTCATACATCATGTAAGTGTTGGGGGAAGCAGTGACTTAGGTGATGGCTTAGTTCTGGAAAAGAAGCTACTTTCTATAGAAGGAGGATTTCAAATGGCCACATTGCCAAGCAGACACTCACGCTGGTTTCCTGTGGGCCATTTCCCCTTTGCTGAACCTGACCCAAAGCCAAAATGAAGGAGGAGAAATTTTCCATTCACAAGGTCTCAGATCTCTGATAAAGATCGTTATGATTAAAAAGTTATAAAATGTAAGCTACTATAAGCTTGAAAAATTTCATTAACTTGCTTTTGATAAACTTAATAAAATTTGTTTTGGAAATTAAGAGAAAAAGTCAGAATCAAAATGGAAAAATTTAGATAATACTATCACCCAGACAAGTACACCTACAAACTTTAGAACACTCAAAAAATAAAAAGTCCCCAGCAAGTTGTGACTACAGTGTCTTAACTGCCATGCTTTAAAATATTTTATGTGCATTTTGTCCTTTCAGGACATACTTTAAAATAATTCAGATTTTATTTGTATTTTTACTTTTAAAAACATGTTAATTAAACATTTTTCTTTTAAGATACAGATTGCCTAATACATATTTAGAACCTTTTAAAAACTCTCCCCCAATCTACAACCCCAGGAAAATAAAACTATAGTATTACAGCACCAACTGTTTTAGAAAAAATGAATGTTTTCTTAATCTTAGCATTTTCATTTGTAAATGGCATGAGGTGAATACGCAAAGAGCGGCAAGAACAATCCTTTTACCATTTGTGTGTCTAGTGGTGGTTCTTTTTTTGGCAGAAAAGAATTGTGATGCAATTACACTGCATTTAAAAATGTTCATAGTAAAACTTTAATGAATCTTAAGGCAAATGTTGAGTAAAATCTCTGTCCCCCAAATCTAGAAGGCACGTCAGAGTATTTTCCTGCCGTTACCCATTCGCTTTAAGGGAGAAAAAGTGTTACCATACAAATTGATGCACAAATTGTTCTACCAACAGTCAAGTCCTGGGTTGTACACTATGCTAAACTCCCTGGTTACTGCCAGGCCCGCACCCAATACTGACATTAGAAATGAGCCAGGCCCCTCTGAACTTAAGGTATCGCCTCCTGCATCGTTTATCTGGATGCAGAGAGTTTCCCACTTTTTCTTACCTGCATAGTGGTCAAACACAGTGGGCACGTATTCCTCTGGGAAGGCATCGTTGGCGTAGCTCATCAGCAGGCAGGTTTTCCCCACGGCACCGTCCCCCACCACTACACACTTCAACATCTTCTTCTCGTCGTTGCCCCTGCAGCCGCAGCTGCCGTCAGTTCCCTCTTTGCAGTTCATTCTTGCGGCTCCAGCTGCTGGGGACTCCTGCTGCTGCTGTTGCTTCTCCTGCTTCTTCCAAAGCACATGAAGCGGCGGAAAGCCAGTGCCAGGCTTGAATTTACTCTGTCTGACTTTGGGTACCTTGGATCATACAGACATGTCCGAGGCTGGGATATGCCCTGTTGCTTACCATGCTGGTAAAGAAAGGTAACACACACTTGGGGGAGTTATGAAAAGGGTCTGCCCCTTTCCGTTCTCAGTGTGAGTTAAGAAACCCTTATTTTCACAGAATTTGAGGGGCTTCCTCACAGCCTAGAAATTTCAGCAGCCTGAGGGTTTTACTCTGCTCTCCCTGTCTCCAGCCTGGCAAAAGACACGGTGGAATTTTGCTAAATCTTTCTCATTTTCCAAGTCACATCTAACATGGAGGAAAGCTGGGCTTTTTAATGGAGTTTTTTCCCCTTGCTTCCTCCAGCTTGCCGAGTGTCAGGAAATCATGGGTTTCCTGCTGCATTCCATATTAGGATCAGTGGGCTGAGGAAGGCTGCAACAATGGGAGCTCTGTGTGTGTGTGTGTTTGTACTTCTGGGGAACGATGCCAGGACATGGAGTGGGAAAACACTAGGGGTCCCACTGCAGACTCAAGCTGTCAGACTTCCTGTTTCATCCGCTGCTTGTGAGGCTGTTCGCTTATGGCTGGCTGGGAAGAAGCTGACTAGAGGATGGAAACCGGGGATTACTGCCTGCCACAGAAACAGGGGGAATGGTTAGAATGAGCAGAGAGAACCACACCAGCAGTCCTAGGATAACATATGACATCACTCTTCACTGAGTCACTAGTTAAAAGCTCTTCAAACTAAAAACGAGCAGTTCTTTACTTACTTAAATGAGAAACTTGAAGCGATTCTTCCCAGAAATAAAGAAGAAAACCTTCTAGAGTCACATCATTTCAAAGAGAAAAATGTTTGTAAGTTGTAGGTGTAACATGCATGATCAGGTTTATAAACTGCCACATGTCTGGAATATGTATTCCAGACACAAACTTATTTTTATGATGGTAGCACATAAGAAATCAATCACATGTGGGATGTTTGCATTCTCTTATATAGTGGATGAACACACACGTGCTTGGCTCATACATAACACCCTTGGACACCAGAGGGTATAGGATGGCTTTTTGGTTTGTTTAAGGCCCTCGATGCTGTTTTTACTTGGATGTTTTGCTTTTTGATTTAGTCTTCTCCCCTTGGGTCAGACTGGTCCTCTTCAATTACAAAGGAGCCATGGGCAGCTAATTTATTTGTCTGTTCCGTCACTCAAAATGAAGCCCCTTTGAAGCTCTGTATTTGATTAATGTGCTTGGTCTTAGAAGAGAAGTGGAAGTCTGCAAATGATTTTTGACAAATGGGTCAAAATGAGGGAACTCTGTTTTTTTCACTTTCAGTTTTCGAACATTGATTTTGAAGAATTCAGATTATCCAATTGTTTGAGAAGTTTTTTGTCTTTGTTTTTTTTGGTGAGGGGTGAGATGGGAGAAAAGTCTGTTATAGATATACCCACATATCATCTATATGCTGCCATATAGTAGGTATAGTCTTAAGTTTCTTCTGTTTGGGATTATAGTAGCATTTATCATAGTGCTTAGTGTCCAAGCCTTTCTTTCCTATAAACAGATGGTGTTTCAGTCAGGTTATGGTGTATCAGTCAGGTTATGTTGCAGTAACAAACAATCCCTGAAGCTAAATGAGTTAACATATATGTATTTATTGCTCACATTGTGTCTCTATTGTATATTGTTATCATCTTTATTCAGGGATCTAGGCCGATAGAGCAGTCATATTGAGAATATTGATGATCATCATGGCAGAGGAAGAAATGAATATGACAAAGATTGACTCTTAAGGCTTCCTCCTGGAAGTGACACTTGTGCTTATATTTGTTGATCAAAGCCAATTACATGCCCATGCTGGGCTCAACAGGAGGGTCAGAAGCATAATCCTACCATGTATCAGAAAGGAGAGGACCAAATATTGGTGGACAGCCTGTGTGGCAACCACAGATCATTTAGCTGAGGTTTTATTTGCAATATGGAAGTTGAATTGTTTATGTTTAGTGCCATTCTGAAGTATTTGAAGACACCTATGACTTAATTTGATTTATATAATTTTATTCTCATTTAGCCTACTTGGAACACCTAGAATATGTGATAACAAAATTAGAATGTGAAAATTTGTGTTTTGCTTCTAGAAAAGAGGCTTGAGTCTGAAAGTGGCAGCCTAACAAATCTGTGCAGATGAAAGAGTGATTGGCAGTGATAAGACTTCATCCTGAAGATGAGCACAATCACTTTGAGCACAATGAGCACAATGATGATACGTATTTGGCAGGACTTTGAGAAGGTTCTTCCTTTGACTTTGTCCCTGAGATTGGGCAGTGAATGTGGCACGGTACTCCATTCATGGAGTTATAAAACATGCCTGTCCACCCTGGTCAACTAAAAGCTTTTATCCCAACACTACAAACATGCCCCAACTCAGTGAGTCCTTGGCCTAGGAAAAAATTGTGAAATTGGATTGAGGTGAAATTTTGCTATATCTACGTATAGCCTAAATCTTATGCCATCAGACACAGACATTTAAGTCCATTGTGATTTCTATGTGAATGGAGACATCTGGGAGACTTGAAGTATCTAGTTTTAGATCCTTTACCTCTAACTCAAAGGATTGGTACATCTGCCAGACTGGATTATATGCAAAGATGGGTTATGACCATTAAGAATGTTGGCTATATTTCTCAAAACAAACATGGTTTATCACTGTTTACTCCCCCTGCACCAAATTGAATATTTATGGAGAAAAGATTTTGAGACATCCTATTAAAAGGGGCAAAAAGTTAAAATTCTTAACATCTCAGCCTTCTGATTATGTGGATCTTGTTGTCCATGTGAGACTAAATCTTTTTAAATTTTAAAAAATGGAACTGAACCAGAATAACAGAATCTTAAAATAAAAAAGTAAAGACAATTCATCGTCATTTTTATAGGTCCATGAGTCCACAGAACTGATTGCTTGCCCGGGTAGCATGGTCAAGAATGTCCTTCAATTCCAAAGGTTGACAGGTATGCATTTAGAAGTGGCATGAAGACCATTTGCTAAAATACTCTTTACCAGATGCCTGTGCTTTTGAATCTTGGGCCATGAAAATGGTTGAGTGGTGGTTATGTAGCCATTAATTATTTGGTTTACCTCAAGCACCAAGCTTACACAACTTACCAGAATGTGGTGAAATCTTTTTGGGTGATATTTTCTGCTTTTTCCGAGAGATCTTAATTCCTTGGCTCTTTCTTGTCCTCTGAGCTTTGGCTTCACACAAATTTCCCCAAATGCCAACAGGGCATTTTTTGTGTAAAATTCTGACTCTTCTTATTGCTTTCAGTTTTATTATGACCTTAATAAGACAGCCAAGTCTTCACTGCCCACCTTTTTTTTTTTGTGCTTGAAGCTAGAAGTTACATAGGGAAGTAATGCAATGAGATCAGATACTCTGATTCTGGATTAGCCTCTATGGAGGATATTGTTTTGACTCCAGTCTTAGGAACATGAGATGTGCTGTGATTCTGATAATTCTAGGATGCCCAGCCTCGTCATGAGTTTCCACTCCAGAGAAAGCCCTTTCTGGGGCTAATGTGAGAGTCCGGCCTTTACTGGTAATTGTTATGAATCAGGATGGGTTATGTAGTTTCAGGGGTTCTGACCTAAATCTCCCACTGACCTAAACCTCAGCATCAGTAGGGGCACTGCTAAAACTGAACAGGCCATCCTAGGACTGGTCTGGACTGGAACCACCCCTCCCCCAAGGGAAGTGAGTCATTGCTGTCAGGGATGCCCATGTATCTGCATTTTTCTTCTGTGAGGCCACCTGCACCCAGCCTCTGGCTATTGTCCATGTCATATCATGCTATATATCACACATCACATCACATCACATCACATCAGCTACATTTTCTTGGACATGATCTTTTTATAATTCCAGAAATGACTTTCTTTTTCTTATTTGGAAGATTTCTGTTTTTTTCCCCAAATCTCTTAATTCTGAGAGATGTAGGTGACTTGCAAGCCACAGGCAGATGGGACGTCTTTTTCCTTCCTAGGAAAGAAGAGGCTGATTTGGCCACTAATGGTAAAGGTGTATGTGTGTGTTTCTTCTGCATTTCATTATTACGTCCCTTAACTCTGAATACAAAGCCCTGTCTCTGAGGAAGAGAGTCCTGTGGTTTATCTGACTTTTTTTGTCTCTTTCTATGGGAATCAGGAAATTAGAGACTTTTAAGTTCCCTTAATGCAGAAAATCTGAAGCTAGGTAACAGTTTGGAAATAACTTTCCCATTGATTCCTGATCTTCTGATTGGAGGGGTATGCTTTAGAAGGGAGAAAAGTTTGGTATTGAGGTAGTCTGGGTTGTTCCTCCACCAAGGCCACAGAGCAGGGAATAGCTTGCAGAAATAGCCATCTTAAAGTCAAACAAAGATCTTTGGTGGTGACTTCCTCTACTTAGTGATACGGGTCCAAAAAGCCTAAAGTCATTGGGTTGGTCATCGTCTGGGTGGGCAAGCATCATGTGTCTGCCACAGGCTGAACTTCCGTGGATTGGAAGTCACAACCTCTTGTCCTTTTTTGTATGAGGGATCTCTTGGGAGAGTAAGAAAGATTGGTGGAAATTTTCCACTTCTGCTAGGAAAACAACTAAAAACTTGCCTTCTACTTACAATGCTCTGGTAGCATCAATGTCATTAAAAATTAATATATAGATGGAGGACTTGAAGGCCTCTCAACAGCAGCTGGGGGCATTGTGCTCCGCTGTATTCAAGGAGGCATTTTGGTTATTGGACTGGATTACACAAATACAAGTTTCCCTGAGAGCCTGCTGGTTGCTGACCAACCCGTTGTTGGTGAAGCACGAAATGTGGAAAGAAATGTAACTCTACTCTACCGACTGAAGATGTCTGCTCAGATTTCATTAACAGCTCATTTGCTAATTACTTTGTATCTAGAAATCATCTGTATCAGAAAAAAGAGAGTCGCGAAAACTACCAGGGCTTGAATGAGACCACAGCTCAAGTCTCAGATTTGATAGAGACTGGGAGAAAAGATTTAGGGACCAACCCTCAATGGGATAAGTGGAAGAAACAGTCGTTGGCTGGGGAGGAGGAGGGGGTGAAAAACACCTTCAAACAAACCTTTGAAAATCCCCAGGACAAAAGAAAAAAGGGAATTAAATTCTTCCATGTTTATAACCCCAGTAGCCATAGACAGAAGGTGGATGGAGCCACACATGGCCTTCAGGTTAAGTGCCCCAAAGACTCCTACCTTATTATTAAGATGCAAAATTCTTGCAAGGTGTTTATTTTCCAGACACACATTTTATGAAA